ATATTTTGTACTTGGTCATCTCTGTGATGCTTTCGTTGTTAATTATATTTCACTTCTGTTTTTTTTTTTCAGCATATAAATCCATCTTTCTCGAGCAGCGATTGGCAAAATTTGTGAAAATAATCAAGCTACAGCTGCATAAAGAAGGATACACATGGGATGCCGTACCACAAGAGGCGAGAGAACTTTTATTGGGAGGAAGTTCCAGGTACTCTTTGGTTTAAGTTATATCATCATTCAATGTTATACCCAATTTCAAGATTAAATCCGTTAGTGTTTTAAACGCTATATTTCATTTTTTATGCAGAAACATTCCATATGGGACGAGGCCATTACAGCTATGGTTGAAAGTAGCCTGGAGAAGATATGCGCCGATCGATACGCTGACTTCACGTAAGGATGGAGAAAAAGCGGTTAAGAAGCAGCAGTTGCGGTGTCTCAGGAGATATGGGAGAGCTGGCAAAAGGGTTGGGAGGTCCTTGCAAATTCAAAGAAGGAAGCGGGAGATATTTGCACCAAAACAGGCGCAGTGAGGACTGGCGGTTTGACTGGAGCAGACCTTCGCGACACCACAGGCGGATCTATATCTGCACTATAGAAGACAGCTCGATTATTAGTAAGTGACCTAGTCCATTTAACAATACACTTGATGTTTAATGAAAGTACATTATATATATTAATATATCATGAATAAAAAATTTATTACAGGCTTAAAGAATTAGGTCGTGAGCCCCCACACCAGATGGAGAGGTGTTTACATACACTCACACGAAGGACCCACGATCGTAATACCTTTGTCGACGACGGGTGCGCTGAGCGTCAATTGTAAAGTAACAATGAATCAATATTTACATTTACCCTCTAATCATTGCGAAGATTACAAAGTTCAATATAATAAAGCTTGCAATTGCATTTGATTAAATTAATTTTTTTATTTTCAGGAACTATACTACAGTTCGGGGCATATTGTTACTTCTCAGACGATGGAATCCGAAGCTGAGTCAAGAATTGACGAGGGGTAGCGCTGTATCTCGAGCTGTAGGGGGCGAGAAGAAGAGGAAGTATACGCATCGGTCTCAGGCATGCACAGTTTTACACTGGCTCCAGCAGCTCACGCTTCTACAGCCAGCGCAAGCACGCAGCCGAGCACACTGGTCACACATGATGATTTGATTATTACGGGCTCAGCTGCTTGATCAGCAGAGACAGATGCAGAGCTTAGGAGCGCATGCTGCGGCGTCCGGTGAGGGGACCGTGCTGGTACTTCTTCCTCTGATCTGCGCCTGCTACAGACGACATGTTTCACGTCTCAGCAGAGCCACTATCGCTCCTGATCCCGATGCTGCAGGCGATACCTTGGCTCACCCCTCCTGGCGCTACTCACATCCCCAGCAGGTACTCCTCCCGGCCGGTCCGACATCGGATCCGCAGATGAGCAGCAGCATATATAGATTTTGATTTCCGACCTTTTATTTTTTTCATTTGTATTTCATTTTTTTAATTTGTTCAGAACAATAAAAATTTACATTTTTATACTGTTCTTGAATTGCGTGTGTGTATATATGCATTTATGTCCAACTTTCAACAGGTGTAGAAAAATTTTGGATTTCAAATAATAAAATTTAATTTTTTATTCCCTTTTTCATTTTTGCGAACCGATTTGCGACCGATTTGATTACCAAAAAAAAAATTTTTTGGAATTTATAATTTGCGACCGATTTTAAAAAAATTGCGACCGATATTCTGCGACCAAAGTTGCGACTGAATTTCCAATTAAAACCACGACCAAATTTTAGCGACCGCCCGTTTTTGCAATTTTGCGACCGACTTATCGGTCTCTAATTTGCGAACCGATTTTTCTCATCGGGTCGCAATTAACATTTGGCGACCAGTGATTTTTGCGGACCGACGTTTTGTCGGTCGCAAATCGGCGCAAAGTATAAATGCGACATTTTTGCTCTTTTGCGACCGATTTGTCGGTCGGCAAAATGGGCGTTTGAGTGAGACTTTATTTTAAAAAATTAAACTATTAAGTTTCTCAAATATATCAAAATCATTGATATTATTATTCCTTTATATCTAGCCTCTTTTGAGCCTCGATTGACAGGCGATCCTTTAAAATAGATATCAATTTAGAACAATATTTTTTACTTTGTATAATATTATTGGACAAGGATATAATTACTAACCAGGAGAGAAAAAGGGCTAGCCCTATTACTGCAAAGTACAACCTTCCAAAAATTTGAAAATTTTTACAACATATAAATAATAATATATATATATATATATATAAAAAAAATATATAATAGTATCATATATATAAAAATTCCATTTGTATTTTCTCTAAAAGCACGGGTACTGTGGGATTCCAACGAAGCTAAGGTATAGCAACTTTGCCTGTGAACTGTTAGTACTTCGGCAAATTACATCCCGCTAATAAATCTGATTCTAAAAGCGCAATGCGGGCCCAAACAAACTACAACAAGCAATTGTGGCTTCATTTCAATCAAAATGCGATATTATTTCCACCCCTGGGTCATCCTCCATCACCATTATCCAGAAATCTGTTTCGCATATCATAGCCAAAGGAGGGGTTGATAAGTGGTCTCTTTATATATTCCATTTGTATTTTCTCTAAAAGCACGGGTACTGTGGATTCCAACGAAGCTAAGGTATTAGCAATCTTGTTTGCCCTTGAACTGTTTAGTACTTCGGTTTTCAAATTACATCCGCTAATTATTGAATCTGATTCTAAAAGCGCAATTGCGTGGGCCTCAAACAGAACTTACAGATCATAGCAATGATGGCTTCATTTCAATCAAATGGATAATATACTTTTCTCACTCCCTGTGGTTTCATTTTTCCTCATTCACATATCCAGAAACTGTTTCGCATATCATTTAGCCAAAGGAGGGGTTGATAAGGTGGTCTCTTTTACAGCTTGGCTTTGAACGGGCTCTATAACTCTTTGGTTTCTTTTTGTTGCAGATATCATGTTGGATATGGAAGAATTCTTTCTTTGTAATCTAATTGAAGGATTATTTGTGTTAATTATCTTTGTTTTAATGCTTCCAAGTCTAAATTCTTTTTTCTCAAGAGATTCACTCTATGAAGCCTAGAACAAAGATGTTAAATAGTTGCAGATATTTTGGAATTTTCTTTTTCTAGTGATGTGCTGTGACGTTTTTCTAGGTTTTTTCACTTAACATTTATAGGATAGGTTGAGATTTTTTTTTTAATAAATCTAATGGTTTGGGTATAGTTGCCTTTCAATGTTGAGTTTTTCTTGAATATATTAAAAATTAATAAAATACTTTATTTGCTGATAAAAAATAAAAAATATATTTTTTCATATATTTTCTAATATAACCATTAAATTTTCTTATATTTTATTTGTAATTAAAATATGTCACATATATATTTTCAATAAAATTCTAATTATATACACCAAAAGTTAAAATTTTCTATTAAAATTTTTTTTTTCTTTCTCATCTTTATTTTCTGCCCTTTATCTCATATATTTTTGCATCGATCGTATTATCTTTGGAAGGAAGATATATATTAGAATTTAGAAGCTATCGACAACATTTATCATGTAGACACGTTTAAAGTGGCACTTTGAATGGAAAATGGAAACGTTTGACACCGCCATGACAATGATGGCCACATCTCTACTACTTTGGACTTGCTTTAGTTACAGTATGCTCCTTTACCTAAAACTGAATCAAAATTGAATTTGCAATTAATTATTGAATTTTTTTTTATTTCTCTAAACCAATAATCAAATTATACGGAATTTAAGGTTATTGATAAATAATTTAAATACATTTAGTTAAATATTATTTGTATAATATAATTATAAAATTTTATTAACAAAAATATATTTCATATATTAATTATTAATTAAAATTTAATTATTTTGATTATGTACTTTTTAATGACTAAAACACAATCGAAAATCAATATAATTTATAGATCAATAATGAAACTGAAATAAAGACCAAATATTTCAAGTACTTAAAAAAAAAAAAAAAATCAAATATTCCATTTCTCTTTAGACAATGCCCTTGTTTTGATCTTTTCAATTATTTTTCATCCCATTTTTATAACCAAATAAAGTAATGGAATTAGAATTTCTATTCTATACTGCATCCCAATATAAGAAAGAAATTTCCATTATTATTCCGATTATATTTCATTATGTATTCAATTCTCATTTTCTATTCATTTTTTTAATCTCATTTTAGTACATGGATCACATGTACCATGTATATGGATACCTTAAAAGATTCAACATATCAATATCGTACGCTGAAACTTCTTGGATACTCTCGAATACGTGTCAAACACTATAAAAAATATGTTCTATTATTTATTTTAAGACACTTCTTTAAGAATACTTTTGAAGATATATTTTGAAAACATTTTAGGGACACATTTAAAAATTAAAATGTAAAATCTCGTAGGGTTTAATTTTTATCTATTTTAAATGTGTTAAAAATTTTGAGATTGTCAATTTATCTTCAAATAAGCCAGAAAATGCTATGATTTTCAATAATGATGTTAGTTTTGAAATTTTAAGTAATTATATTGAAATAAAAAATTAAATATTTTATATTTTATATTTAATGATTTATTTTATTTGAATTATTAATAAATCATATTTATTAATGTTTTGTGTTCTCAATATGTCAGTATCCTGCTTTTTTTTAAATTACAATGTTCTTTATCCACGTCATGTTTCGTGTCCCGTGTCCGTGTTTACATGCAATGTAACCATGGGTTTTTGAAGCCATTCTGAGCTTATTGTTAAAAGTTGATGTATTCATAGTTAAAAAACCCAAACCCAAACCCATCGCCTATTTTATAAGGTGATTGAGCCTGCCTTTTAAATTCATGGACTCTGCCACTAGGAACTCCATATCCAAAAGCCCAAAAATCTTCTTGAAAAAGCCATTGCCACCCAAGGTAACGAGTAGAAGATGGTGGAAGGTTACAGATTTCACATAGCCAGAAGACCCTCGAAACTGCAAAGAAGAAAGTACCCAGCAGTGCCAATCACTATATATACATTACCATCCATCAATCTTAATTCCATCAGTGAAAAAAATCTCCTTCGATTCTATTGAAATTCAAGATAATTATCCTCTCCTAGCCAAAAAAATGTCTCTGATCCGATCTTTCTTCGGCAACCCACTGTCTACTGATCTATGGGCTCCATCTGCTTCGAATAATGAGATTTCCGCAATCGCTAATGTACAAGTTGATTGGAAGGAAACACCAGAAGCCCATATATTCAAAGCTGATCTTCCAGGATTAAAGAAAGAGGAAGTGAAAGTTGAAATTGAAGAAGGAAGAGTTCTTCAGATTAGCGGAGAGAGAAATGTTGATAAGGAAGAGAAGAACGAGAAATGGCACCGCGTTGAGAGAAGCAGAGGTAAGTTCTTGAGAAGGTTTTGGTTACCGGAAAATGCAAAGGTTGGTGAAGTTAAGGCATCAATGGAGAATGGAGTACTTACTGTTACTATTCCAAAGGCAGAGGAGAAGAAGCCTCAAGTCAAGTCTATTGAGATTAGCGGTGCATGAGCATGAGTTTCAATCTTCTTTAAGATATAAAAACAATAAATTGCTTTGTCGTTGATGTGTATGAAATGAGATTATGTGTGGTTTGCTCGCTCTGGTTTCTGTTTCCTTCCAATGTATAGGTATATGTTAATGTATTTGTGAGGTTTTTTAACAATAAAAAAACAGTTCTTATATTCAAATTCTACTTCAATTCTGTTTCTTTTACATTTTTGTACTTTTTATCTTCCAATTATTTATTTATTTAATGAGCTTGATGAATTTATGTGGATGTCCTAAACTAAGGATAAGAAGTGAAATCATATTTTTAAAAAACAAGTTGCTATTCTATCTCCCGACTCCCATGTTGGGTTGAGGGTCCATGTCCAGCGTAACAAGAAAATGGGCTGGGTTTTAACAGTCTCATCAGACTCTTCAAATAGTACGGGCTTCACTGTGTTGTGAGTCAGACCGAACTAACCTCAAAAATAAAATTAAAATTTATTAGTCAAATAAATGTGGTTTTTTATAATTTAAAAAAAAAAAAGTTTAAAATTGATCTTAAAAAAAATTTTATAGTTGACGATTTCTAAAATTAATTTGAGGTCAATAAAATAATATTTAAAACTTTATTTTTTTTTAAATTCAAAATTGACTATTAATAGTAAATTAGTAATGACAACATTAAATTAATTCAGTAGATGAGATTCAACAGCTCAACAAACCAAAAATAAATGAGCTATAAAATTCTGTCACATGTTAATACATTGCAGAATCCTTTGGTCCATTCATAAAAGTAAATCCCCTTGCTCTGTGTGAAGATTAGGGGATCAGTCTGCTGACAATGAAAAACAATTCCATAAAAAGAGATAAAACACAATAAATCAAAAATACATAACTCCATTAAAAGGATACTGCAAACACTCTTGTTTTATCTACTATATTAGATAAACTGGTTAAAATCTAAGATTTGTTCCAAATAAAAACATAAAAAGAGATCTGTTATGTTGTTCGGATAGAGAGCTTCTTTTTTTTTTGGGCAAGAGAGGAGAGCTAAGCTCTAATGTTACAAACAGTATCTAGAACAATAAAGAGCTTTTAGTATTTTATAAATTAGAAGAATGTTTGGCGATTTGGCTTTGCTTTAAGATCTCTGTCTTCCCTCTTTAACAAAAATAGAGATCCAAAGGTCGCCCGCAACGGCTTTGCACTAAAGTTGTGTAAAGGATGAATGCATGCGAAGCTTGGAATACGACAATCTTGAAAGAGGTGGCCTGGCCAACATCTAATTATAAGAACAAACAAACGTCAAAAGATTCCCATTTTTTAAATCCCCACATTTCATGCCTTATTTGTCAAACTAGCTTATAACATTTCCTATATGCAATCCCCCTTTTTCAAACTTCGATTACGATAATTTTGCATATTGTACAGTTTCTTCCTGTTAAATTTTTTTAAGACCCCCACCCACCGGCCGGAAGTCAAATTTGTGACCAGTCTAGTCCAAGTACGGCGAGATTTGTGAATTCACATGCTAACAACTAATGTGTGTTTTCAGATTCTTTGCCAACCGCGAGTCTGCAACTGGGCCATGCGATGGCCGTAGACAGTGTCTCTGTTCATCATATATATAATAATATAACACCACAAAAGACAAAGTTTAGAACGCGAAATTCGCGCTTTATTCATCCTTATCCCTCTCTCCCGCGAAAAATTAATCATGAAAAACGTAATAATCAGCTGAACTTGACAGCACCAAGAGGCGGTGACGTAACCTAATGGGCCCCAACAAAACAATAGTACGGCTTTGGGATTCGCTACAAGAAAATGAGTCGTTTATGTAGCCACCTATACGCCTATTGCCTATTCATTTCCCTTTCTCTCTCTGCTTTTTATTTTCCTAACCGTCTGATCGAAAATGAAACGCTACTCACTCTCTTTCTCTGCTCTCTAGTTGTTTGTTGCTGGCTTCTCTTCTTTTCCGGTTTCGAAGAAAACGAAAAACCGCGGATTCGATTACCCAGAAGAAGATGGATTGGATTGTAATGTGAAATGTGAATGTTCTTGATTTTTGTAGCGGCAATTGTAATTCTTTGCTTTGCTTATAGTCTACGTTTACCGGCTCAGCCACCACTCTTCACCGACCGTTTTGTGTGTCGGATCTTTATCGGGATCAGCGAATTTTCTGCCTCATTCTCATCTTTCCGAACCTGCATTTCCTCTTTTCGGCTCTGGTACGTTATCTAATTTCCTTGCGAACTTCGCTATAAATCTTGGTTATGTGCGTTTCACCTTTTTCAACTTTTTTTTTTTTCCGTTTCTGTGTTTTGTCGCTGAGAAACCAGAGGAAAATGCAGGAATAATGATAATTTTGTTTTATATATTTAGTAATTATTTTAAGGAGCATGTTGATAGCTTCACATTGTCCGTGGAATGGACTGAAATTTGTCGTATTGTAAAATAAAAAGGAAGAAAATAAAATGCAAGGTTTTGATTTCTTGTTTTCCCAGCGGCCAAACAGAAATTGAAATTTAATTCTTAGTCTCGTAAAAGCCGGCTTAAAGTTTTGTTTAGATCTGTCACTTTCCCGGTTTGGCTATGAAGTCACCAGAAGGAATTTGGATCTACATTCGGATAATATGTTGAATTATGTAATTTGCAAGGCAATTGAAGCAGAAATTATCTGATGTCAGAGCCAAATTGTGAATAAAAAGAGGGAGTGGCATAATTGAAAATTTTTGTTTTTGGTTCATGACCTCATTAGTTAATTGTGATTATGGTTATGACCTCAATTAATGTTTCTGTTGTCCACATTACCTCTGTTTATCTGATAAAAAATATTGGACGATTAAAAATGTAATGAATGTCTCCATTACTTCTCTGAAATGTTGAACTAATGTTAGTGTGAAGCTTTTATCCTCTAGCGGGCAAAATGTGAAATGTGCCTCCCAGGCATGGAAATCAGTAAAGCCAGCAGTTCATTTTCAGTTTTGTTTTTAATTGCCCTTCTGTTCTCTTTTCTTCTTCTGCTTACATAGCTTTTGACTAATCTTGCCTCACTTGTTACTTGTTCTTCTTGTCCTCTGGCTTCAGAAATAAAGAAATTTGAATGAAGCAGATGTATTTTGTTCTTCATAATACTTTGAATCTTACTAATTGTTGCTGAGAGTACACACACATTCCACGTCTCTTGTATGCCTATGCTGTGAATTGTACAAAGAAAAAAAAAAGAAAGGTGAAATTCTAGAAGCGTGACTAAAATTTCTCTTGCATTATATTTTAGCAGGTTAAATATGTCCATGAAACACGCAAATAGTTAAAATTCTGTTTATTGTATGAGCAAGTGATGCATATTTAGAGCCTTCTGGCAAAATGGGATTTGGTTTAGGCAGCAAAAGCAGTTCAAAACAGCAGCAAAATCCCAAGATAGTAAAGGAGACAGGTTTTCCAACCCAAGCAAAGCAGAGTCTGAAGAATGAAGACAAGTTAAAAGCCAAAAGTTGCGTGAGTAAGCCATATGGTGACCTGTCCCATGAACTAAGAGAACACGCAAACGATGTAACCTTGGTCCAACAGAAAACTTCAGGGAATTGCCAGCAGCTGTCTGTCATGGTGAGGAAAAAAGATGATGAGCTTGTCAGGTATATGTCTAACTTGCCTGGTTATCTCCAGCGCATGGAGAAAACAGAAAATATACAGGATAAAGCTTTAAATGTTGGGGTTTTGGATTGGACACGCTTGGAGAATTGGAAATGCAACCAAAAGGGCTCTCCAAAGAAAATTGGAGATTATACATCCTTGCGTAGCTGTAATTTTTCAACTAAAATGACAACTAAGTCATCGAGTCATTATAATCCAGCTCATGGTGAGACTCTTGCTTATCAACGAAAGCAATATTGCCCTCCTCCTTGTAGGAAAGATTCTTCTCACAATGAAGGCAGTTCCAGAGATGCCAAATCAGCTACTCGCGATGATATGCTCATCCAAGATGTGAAAAATGCTTCCAAGAGCCATTTTGATCGACAGAAGAGGGCATCATGGAAATACAAGTCTTTTGACAGAGATTGTCCATATACAATTTCTGAAAAGGAGAAAAGAAGAGCTTTGGATCATAAGATCACTTCAAAAGTTGAAAATGGGTCATTCAACTGTGGACGAAACAGCATGTCAGTTGAGCCCAAGAAAAGTTTGAGTGCTTATGATAGAGAAGCCAAGCAGAGATTTGAGGAGATTGAAGGATCAGATATAAAGAGAAATGCTTTGAAGCAGAAGAGCACTTCAAGAACTAGAACTTCATCATCAAAGCTGAGAAATTATGATACTTCACGTAATACAGATGAAAAGAATAATGTTGAGAATAATCAAACTCAGAAGAGGATGGAGTTGCAAGAATCATCTACTGGTCTTCCTTCTCAAAATCAAGCTGGCAACAATAGAAACATTGTTCTCCTTCTACCCAGAAAATATTCCCAGAACAGCTTCCAAAACCAACCAAGGACTTCATGGGATGAGAATGTGGCAGAAAGAAATCAGAATACATTATCAGGTAGCATTCCTGACAAGAAGGTTGATGTTTCAGAAGAACTCCATGAAATTCCTCATTCATGTCCACTGCCATCTAGAGCTGAGATAAATACAGAGCAATTGGAGATGGAACCTGATACAATCAATACTCAGGACGCAGAGCTGTCATCTGATGCAACCAACACCATTAAGTCTCCAAATGGTAATCTAGTTGAAACTTCAAAGATGTTGGACCAGGATACAGCAGAATTGGCGAATAGTAAAGGCAGGCATCCATCTCCAAATTGCCGATTCAGCTTCAGCTTGAGTCGGATGACCAGAAGTTTTAGCTTCAAGGAAAGTTCAGGTCTCCCACAGTTGAGTTCCACGTATGTTTCAGTGAAGTCTGGTCCTGTGACATCTAAATCTTCTGCTAGTTGGGATAATTCGAACATCGAGAAAGTATGTGGTCACAACAGAGCTAGATCCAGCCCTTTGAGAAGGATACTGGACCCACTACTGAAGTCCAAGAGTTCAACTCCGTCTTATTCTGCCGAAACTGATAAGCCAGTGAGAAGACTCCTGCATTCCCACAGTTCTAAGCCAATTACTACCACTGGATCACTTCAAAATGAAAAATGTGAGGCATCTAGTATTAAAGCTCAATTGATGCTTACAACAACGAATGGACTTCCTTTGTTCAGGTTTATGATCAACAACAACAATATTATTGTTGCAGCTCCTGTTAAAAATATAACATTACCTGGAAAGAATGATACAGGTTGCAACTATGCATTTTATACTATTGATGAAATCAAGAAAAAAAATGGCAGCTGGATAAATCAAGGTGGTAAAGAGAAAGGTTGTGGCTTTGTGTATAATGTGGTTGGTCAGATGAAGCTTAATAGCATTTCTTCCCTGGATTTGGCTGAACAAAAGTCCAATAGCCAGTATATGGCAAAAGAGTCTGTTTTGTTTGGTGTTGATCTAAGACAGACTGGTCAGGCTTCACAACGGCTAATGCCAATGGCAGAGCTTGCTGCCATTGTTGTCAAAATGCCTAGTGGAAACCTTGCCTTTGACCGAGAGCAGACTGATAAAGAAGAAAACCAACACTCAAATAGCTGCACAGTCATACTTCCTGGTGGTATTCATAGTTTTCCAAACATTGGGGTTCCTACATCGCTGGTTCACCGATGGAGAACTGGTGGATTGTGCGACTGTGGCGGTTGGGATGTTGGTTGTCAACTACGCATTCTCTCCAGTGAAAACAAACACCAGAAGATTCCATGGGTTTCTAATACTTTCCTGACCTCAAATCGTTTTGAACTTTTTGTTCAGGTACTGCTTGTGTTTACTTAAGAATGTGTCTTTACATTCTGTTGGTAATACCATTTATATATCCAATTTATATTTACACTTTGCAACTCCATATAGGGAAAAACGAAACAGGATATGCCCATCTTCAGCATGGAACCAATTGAGAAGGAAAAGTACTCTGTTGAATTCAGTCCATCAATTTCTATGTTACAAGCATTCTTCATTAGCGTCACTGTTTTAAGCTGTCAGAAACCATCTGATTTTGCTGAAGAGAGCAACGTCTTTGAAGAAAAAGTTCTCCAGGAATCTACCAATGGAATTGGAAATGATGGAATGAAGAAGATACGCACGACTATCTCTGGTGAAGCACCTGCAAAGTACACTCCAAGTCCACCGGTTTCACCTGTTGGAAGGGTCTAGCTGTTTGCCAGGGTAATGTTGGTTCTTGGTGTCTTGCTGCTCTTCACATAGCAAAAGATTGCAGTGATAGCATCTTAAAAACTTTGTTCATATTAACACTTGCATTTGAAAGATAGAGAATAGATCTCAAACAGGGTTCTGGTATAGCAGAAGTCATTTGGTCATCATAGTTTTGTATCAGTTAATCTCGCATTACTGATATCATCCCTTGTATAAAGAAAATAATGCTACCATTTATAGAGATCCGAAATTACAGAAATAGTTTTCAGAAGGGTTATTGAAATTCTGAAACATTGAAGATGATCTTATTCCAATTCAACAACTTGTACCTGGTTACAAAAAAATATAATTCTTGAAAGGCGCCATTAATCTGGTAAATTATAGGCTATCATTCTAAACAAAATCAAGGCAAAAAATGCTCCGCCAAAAGTAGAATACTCTTAATTGAATCTATAATGGAACAAAAATCTAAACTACAAAGAAAAATAACAAAAAGAGATTTATTCTTCATGTCTTAGACATGCCACTGTAAGTTTCTTACAAGTCCACAGGTGAAGCATGGTGAACACAGATGAACCATTGACCATCTATCTTCTCAAAAACATTCGTCACAAACTGTGCCCCCCAGCTGCTACCTTTTGTCCTAACAAATTCAATGCACGTAACATAACCTATGTCGCCCTTAAAATGAACTCGAGCGTCTTTCAACTCTATCTCCAACGGGAAATCATAGTTCATCCATACAAGCTCCCAGCTTTCCATAATATCATCATAACCAATAACCCCACTTGCACCAGGATGCACACAACAGGTGTTATCCCCTTTTGCCCAAAGAGATTGCATGGAAGCCAGATCCCCATTTCTGAATGCATTATAAAACCGAGCATTTGCTGCCAGTACCGAAGCCTTGCTATCCTCCTGCAGCATTCGAAGGCTATCCCTGATTTTTGCAGCCTGAGCATAGTTCTCTTCGTCAATAGCAATTTGTAGATCCTGCATTAACGCTTGCTCGTCCAATATGATGCTTTCCCCCGAGTCCTCACTTGTTACTTGACATGCTTTCAGTGATAACAAGCGGGAAGGTTTTGCAAAGGGCGCTGCCTTAATGCAAATACAGAGTATTACAACCGCTAAAAACTAAAAAAAATTCACAAATTAAATACTAAATAATAAGCTAACACAAAAGTAAAAACAGATAAAATTGAATTCAAACCATACAACTTACAAGTTCTTCCTTGAATCTGCAGCTCCAGAGGACAATAATGTGTCACAGAAGTAGCAGGTAAAGAAAGGTGGGAAAGCCTCTTGAAACTATTAATGCAAGAACATGGCAGCGGCCTATCAATAAAATTTACCTACAACAACATTGCGAGCTAAAGCAAGTCTATATATAGATATATATGAATTCAAGAAAACAAAATCTATAGCATGCGGTTTACAACTATACACAGGTGATTAGAAACTGAATAGCACTTTCACACTAAGAGCTGAGGAAAGTAGGTCTTTTTGGCTGGTCCATTTGAATCTTGCAATTTTACTCCACGGTTTCACAGAAGCTAAAAGCATTCGTGATTCAAATGATTCCCACTCTGTCACCCTCTCCTCCCCAGCTTCCTTTCGTTCCATGTTAATTATTCTTTTAAGTGCAATAAAAAATCGTCCAAACATCACAGAATTCACTAATGAATTTTTAATGTGCAATCCCCAAGTCAATATCGTTTCTTTCTTGAAATTTTGATGTAAGATCTCGTTTAGATTAGATAGGAATACACAGAGAGAAAAATTATTGCCACTATTTTCAATTTTGATTCTCAAATGAACACAGAATCAAAAATCTCTTGTTGATAAGACATGTAAGATAATTTCAATTCATTTCGAAGATGCTAATTAATGGAGAAAGTGAGACTTAGAATTTACATTGTAGCAAAAGGTAGATCCACGGAGCGCCATGATTAAGCAGGTCGGCTTACAGACAGAACTTAAGAGCAGCTAAGGAGAAGATTTAGGGTTAGGGTTTTGACTTTAAGCTGTGACTAAAATTTGAAACGAAATACTTGAGCCATCTGCACAGGGAGACAGATGAGAAAGATTACATAGATAGTGTGTCAAATGTCAACGGAGAAAGAATAAAGCAGATGGCTTGTTATTTTGGGCCCGAAAAGAGTCCAAATGTCCAATACAATAAATGCGTCAGCTTGATGGGCCTCCAATTAGCCCTTCACATGGCTTTTCATTTCATAATTTAATGAATTAGTCTTTGTAATTTATTCTTTTTAGGGATAATATATCATTTTTTTTGAAAGAGAAGGTAATTTCGTGGACTAACATTAATAAACTTCTCATGAATCTATCAGGAAAAAAATTGAGAGCTTAATATAGGAGTGAACAGTACGTAGTTCTAATTTGAAAATCAAACTGAATTTATCCATTTTGGCCTAATTGAGTCAGACATTTTAGAATTCGGTCACTATAATTTTGGTAAGATATCATTTTCCATTTAGTTTCCTATTCCAGTTCGGTTTTAGATATATCTAACTGAATTCATTTTTTACACTCAAAATAGTTAATTCAGTTCCATACGAAACTAAATTGTAATTTTTAATTTCAAGTTCAATCACCATGAAAAATATTTGGTCAGACCAAATCGAACTAGTCCAATTCAATTAGATAGAATGTTCACCCTAACTTAATGTTTAAGGAATAAAAACTCGTAAGCTAAAAGGACAAATACAAAAAATTCCAGCAGCTCCTAACAAATATCAGTGAAATATTACAGGCAACCGAGATTCGATTTCCGGCCTAAAATTGAATTGAACTGGGCTTAACTAAACCAGATCGGATCTGCATGAAAGGGTAGAGGTGAATTGAGGTTAAAATAAATGATGTAAAAATATGTGATGTGGGCTTATTTACGTTTGGGTCGACCAATATTAAAAAAATAGTATTAACCAATTAGTTAACTAGTTTGCCATTTTTATATTCTTTTGTGGATTTGATATTTATTCAATGTAGGATTTTTAATAACAATATCCCAAAAATATGATATGAATCTCCTACAGATAAAAAAAAAAGAAAAAAAAACTGTATTCTGCGAATAAGCTCTCCTAATAGTGGGGATTTCAAATTCTAATTTGCATGTTATGTTTCTTGAAAATACCTTCAATGTAGCTGATGCAATGCTTTCCACTTGGTTTCCTTGACGATGAAGATGAAGATGAAGTTAGCCTAAGGAATCTTCTAGCAAAGCCAAACGCGGATAAATTTCCTAGAGACAGACAAATTAAGCTTAGATTGATTTGCCAATTTCATTTTCAACTGTCAATGTAACCGTTCGCTGGACCCCAACTGCCTTGTATTTTTTTGTTGCTTAAGAGTTGTTGGAGTTGGACCTGTTTAATTCCAAATCATCAAGTCAATTTATTTATTTTGACCAAGTAATGGACACCATGTTAGTCAAAAATTCTTAATCATCTAATTAATTCATTTTCTCAAGAAATAATTAACTTTCCCAAGACAGCTATTATTATTTAATTACTGTTTTTTAATCATAATAAAAAGATTTTGCATGTGCTTAACTATTTTTTTCCCTTTTTTTAGTAAGAGCACATGCTACTGACAATTTAGTATCTATATCAGTCTCTCAATCAGTTAAAAAAAATTATTGATTCCTCATTATATTATTATTATTTCTGTTTTTTTTACAATTGAAAAATAAAATCTTAACTATATTATATATATGAAATTAACAAACTAATATATTTTTCTTAGAAGAAAATATATGTTTGGTATTATTAAAAATGGTCTTTAAAAATAGCAAGATCCATAAGTAGATTGTCAAACTATGTAGTCTAAGCAATTTTTGAAGCCTATAATGTAGACAACGGCTACATACTAACACTTAATTTGAATTGGATTTGAAATTTTTGGGTGAAAAAAAAATACCGAATTTGCATCTTTAATTTGAATTTTGAAATTCACTCATACAACTACTTGAATGCATTTTCAATATATATATGTGTGTGGTCCCAAAAATTTCTTCATTCAATATTTTTACTTATAAAGTTGGATAATCTTGGTAATTATCGGCTCTTTTAATTATCGTGTTTCATCAAACCTTAAATAAATAACATTTTATATTCTGCTACTTCAAAATTTAAATATTAGTATAAACGTTATGCTATCAAATACTATAAATAATAAAAAATAGTATTTTGGCTTATTCAAAACACTAAAATTATTCATGTCCTTCCACCTTAATAGTCACATTTGATATTTTCACAAGAATTAAAAAAAAAATTATTAAAACACATTGATTTTTTAAAAATATATAATAGAATATATAAATTGTCTATGGTAAAATTAAAAGCTCTCCATTTAATTTTATTATAAAACACCTAATAAATATAGATAAATTTGAAAAAAAATAATTAAACTCTTAAAATTTTAAATGAATACTTAAAATAAAATAAAGTAAAATATTTATTTATTTTTATTAAAATGGATAGGAAGGAATATATAAGAAGTTGTTGGGCTGCATAGCCCAAACATATTCATAGATATAATGGAGTGACAGAGACGTCCATATATCTGGATATTAATTCTTTTTTCTGTTTCTGATTATATGGAGTCCAATAATTAAGACTTCAAGATTCTTTAATCTTTTAAGAAAAATTGATAGGTTGTACATTTTGGTAGGGCATGAGTTTTCTTTAGGGCTAGGATTCATTTTGTTACTTCAACTTTTGTTTATTTGTTTCTATGCTCAAATGGAAATTTTTCCTACTGGCCATGTTGTATTGGTAACAAGGTAATTGGTAGTCTTTTCTATTTTTTTCTTTTAGCCGTAAAATATGTTGATTTCAATAAATAATATCATGAATCTATGCTTAGCAATGTGCACGGAAACTTTCTTTATCTGCTGTTTTCGTATTTGGAAAATGTTTCTTGCACGAAAACGCTTGAAAATTCTTTAGAAACGTTTTAAAGCTATTTTCGTGAATTGAGTAATTTGAAAATATGTTTTCTGTCTTTAAATATGTTTTTATAAATTGAAAACTCTTAAAAACTCATATCTCTTATTAAAAAAATATATAAATAAATACAAATTTATAAAATATGTATTTTTTTATGAGTATGGAACTGTAATTCTTTTAAATATGATTAAATATTGATTGGACCTGATTTGTTGTAGAATATAATAATTTAATTTTTTGTATTTATAAATATAACACTACATTTTTCACATTTACGCATTTTCCCATGTTTCCGTTTTCTACATTTTTAAAAATATCATTTTTCCGTGTTTGTTTCCGTAATTTCACGTTTTCACATTTCTATTTCCGTACAATATAGCTTAGTAGTATTTTAATTTAATTAGAATATAAATTATAATTTTCTCGAATACATTATTATAAGTATAGATTACAATAAGAGTCCATTGAATGGTACCTTACCCAAATTTTGTTTCGAGAAGGATTGGGGTTTGATAATCGACATTATAATTACTTGCAAAATAGTAGAGATTATGGAGAGAGAAAGATAAGAGTTTTGCAAAAGATAAGGGATTGTGAATAATTTTGCTAAATTAAAGATTAGGGAATTAAATTTGTGTTTGTATAACTTAATTTTTAAAAAAAACATAACACTTAAATTGAATATCAACTGACTAAATTAAAATTAATTCATGGTGTTAAAGGGTTTAAAATTTAAAACCACTGCTGTTAAAAAGATTTTATTTAAATATAACTTTTAAATCAAGTGTAAAAATGTGTGAAAACCGAAAAATAATCTTAAATTTTATTATGATCGCATAAAATTATAACAATAGAATGTCAAGAATCAATTAATCCAACTGTTTGTTTGTATTACATAAATAGTGATGCAAGCAAAAAGCCCAATTATGGGTAAATCACGTAAATAGCAACAAATGTGAGGGAAAGGAAGAAACTAGAAAAGGAGAAAAAATAAAAAAGGCAAATTGGAGTTTTTGAACATTTTGTATATATGGTTGTAAGTGTCCCGTCTTAATCACGTTACAGGGAAGCCGCCCAATGCCCCAATCCCACAGCCAGCCGTTGGGTCGATGTCCCAACACAAAAACCAAGCTCCTCCATTCGCTTAACCTTCCATTTAAACTTAATTCCCACTACTACTCTTACTGGTTGGGTCGGCCCGCTCCGTTGGCAATAACGACCTTTGACCTTTGACTTCGAAAAGTCCGTTTTGCTGTGCTTCGTACATTGTAAGTTGTGTGAAAGTTACTAGAGACCGTTAGTATTTCCCCCATGCCGATAAAACAAAATCCTTTTTGTTTTATTTTCAGACAAAAAACCGTGTTCTTGTAATATGGGATCCACTCTTTGTAATTTCGGATAGATTAGTGTATTTCACAAATACTGGTTATACATAATTGTCGCATTTCAAAAAGTATTGCTATATTTCTAAATATTTATCATATTTATATATTTTATAATTAATATTTTTTTATTTTTACCCTTTATAAATGATTAATGGTAATTATTTCAATTTTTTAATAATTTATTATAATTTAGATAAATTGAATATTTCTTTAAAAATAAAAATTTCAAATGTGACTAGTATTTGGAAATGAAAGAAATATAATTTATACCACTTGTTCCGTTAATTTTGATGATTTTTAATTTTTTTATTTAAATGACACTTTTAAAAAATCAAAATCATATTAATTATTTATTTCAATTTTACCATTATTTAAATATCTTCACCGAACCTTATCTATCTTAATTATAAAAAATTAATTAAAGGATAATTTTTTCTTTGATTAATGATCACTATCCAACCATGAAGAATGGGATGCCTCACTTGACTAGAAGCTACGGGACTTAGCAATTAAAGACTAATTTAATCAATTACCTTTATTTTATTTTTTTACAATTAAGATGGTTCAATTATTTTTTAAATCTTTATGAAACCAAAAAATATCAAAATTAACGGAAAATAATATTTATAAAAATATTATTAATGTGAATCGTTTAATAATGAAATTTATTTATATTATCAAATTAGACTTATTTCATAATTCTATATTTACTTAATATAAACTAACTTCATAACTTTTTCTATTTAATATAAAAAAAATAAATTTAATTACTGAGATTTCTAGGTAAATTATTCCTTTCTCGTTTATATCAAAAGTGAGAGACATAATTTCCAACACATTGAGCCATTAAAAAAGAAAGAAATAATAAAAAAAAAAACAACAAAAGGGTCACTATGATCTAAAGAATAATCATAACGAAAATGTTTTTAACATTTGAATAATCATTTCATTTGAGGCTGTAAAACTTCAAAATATCATTTATGGCAAATGCAAATTTGGGACCCTGTGGAAAGTTCTGTTCTGCCAACTCAAAAGTTAGACCAAATCTAACGTATAAAATTCTTGCCCATCTGGACAATGACACAACCTTATATTTTTTATTTTATTGTTTTTTTTTGGTCAAAATTTTCTAGACACCAACTGCTCAATAATATTCAACTGCCCATTAAGATTTAGAATGAGAAAAGATTGCACAAAACAATCTCTTAATTTGTTTATTATATTACCATTACCCACACAATTCCATTAAGAAAAAGTACATTTTTGACTCTCTTGCTTTAGTGGTAGTCCATATTTATATAAATGCAAGATTACGAGATAAACTTTTAAATTATTTTAAATTACCGTGCTAAATTATTTATTATTCTTGTGGTCGTGAGACACCAAATAAAGATAATATTTTTCTTTATTAAATTTGTGAAAACTCTTGTGGCCACGAAACACTAAACTTAAAACATTTTAATCAAACCACATTTGATTGGCAATTTATCATCTTATTAATAAAAAATAATAAATCATTAGTTTGCTTCAAATAATTTTATGGGATCAATTTAATTATATGTACGAAGTCATCTGCAGGTGTAGATAAGTTGTTATAAGAATAATGGTCATCCAAACCGAAAGAAAAAATGGAAATAAATAAAAAATGGACAGACATGCACACATGATACCTAAGAGGTTAACAGATAAACTAAAAGGATGATTTGTGAAAAAAGCGAGGGCCACATGGAATGCAATGCATAGGCATGTTTTATGGGCGAGAGAAAAATTATTATTATATTAAGATGAAGTTATATGCTTTTTTTCAAATTTTGAAATTCTGCCTGGCCGGAAGTTGTTGGCTACTCCGCCGAGACGCCCGTGACCAACTCCTCTGCCCCTCCCTATTTAACTTTTTCCTTTTCTTTTTTTTTTTTAAATCTAATAATTTGTGGACAGGTGGCTTCAAATTTCTATAATGTCTCTGCTTTTTATTCTTATCAATTTGTCAACCAAAATTCGATAACCTATCATCTATCAATTACCACGAATAGTTAAAATTAAATACACCTTTAATTAAATTCTTTTAAATAATTAATAGTTAATTTTTTAGTCAATAATAGAGATTTTAATCGGTAAATATTAATTAATAAATGCTTCATTTGTTGTTGATTTATCACTTATATTTGGTCATATTTTTTATTAGCAGCAATTTGATTTATGTTAGTTTTGACTATACTAACTTTATAAAAATAAAATATTAATGTATTTATGTGATTATTTTATTTATAATGATCGGCTGCGAAGCCATGATTTTCAATTAAAAAGGACAAACTACTGAATGTATATGTTAAAATAATTAAAATTGTGATGAAAATATATATTGACCTTGGGTCAAGTGTGACTTCTCCATTGTTTATAATTATTTAAAAATAAGTAATAAAAAAGTAAATGTTACTGTAGAAACTTGATCAATAATTTTATTTCAGGTATATTAAATAGAAAATAATATATTCAACTCAAATAATATATGATGTATGCTGATCCATTCAAATACTCTTAAAAAATGCTGATTCAGTCAAATAATAATAATAAATAACAATTAAACATTATTATAAATATTTATTTCATATATTTTATTTTATAAAAAAATAATATAATATTTTTTTACATTAAAATAATATATTCATCTTAATAGCTAAACTCGTAAACATGTATCCCTAATATATTTTTCAATAGGACATCAATGTATATTTAATTTCTATATAAATTTATATAAACAAAAAAATCAAAGACGGTATATTAATTCAAATTTTTCATTTGAATACAATAATACCCTCTAACGATATTATTCTTGGAATATTGATAAAAGTAATATTCTTGTAAAAAAATATTTACACTTTTAATATTTGTCTTATCATTGAGAGAAAATGTTATATTAAAATTATCAATTTAATTGATTGTTTCAGTGTAATATAAAAAATAACTCATAATAATAATGATTTTTATTTTATATTAAGACCACTAAATAAAGTAATTATTTTGATAAAAAAATCATCAAAATATGTTTTATTAAGATACACAATTCGTTCTGTAGTTTTAATGTAAATTTAACTTTTCACTAAAATCACAATCAATTTGGTAGCTGCCCTCCTCAGTTGTCACATTCTATGATTGGGCTAAAAGTACCAAGACTAAATCAACGGTACATGTAAGTGAAAAAACCATTTGATAGTTAATTTTTTCATTGAAACCAGTAAATAAAATTATTTATTTATTTCTCTTATTACTTTTTATTGACACTTGTCATTATAAATAATTTTTTGTATTTGCATTGAAACTATCAATTGGTGACATGATAAATATTTTCTCCCTTTCAAAGAGATAGTCTATCTTTTCTTATTGATTTGTTTCAAAATATAATCAATTTTCTTTTTTTGTGTTATAGTTAATGCTTGAATTGTCTACTATACTCTTATTAAATTATCTTATTTTTAATAACCCTCATTAATTATTAATTATTAATTATTATTTTAATACTCATATATTATTTAAAATGGATATAATAGAAAAATTATATTAATAAAATTGTCTTTAATTATATTTCTTATTCGGTGTGAAAATAGAAAATTGATTATCTTTTTTTTAGACGGAGGGAGTATTAGATTTGTAACTTGTGAGTAGTTTCAATTTAATATTATCTTTGTAAATAATTTTTAGAAGCGTATTATTTTTGTCAAAATCTCGTTATTTTCCTCTTTATTATTAAGGAAAAAAGAAAAGAAAAGAAAAGAAAACGGAATAAAAAATGGCCACTTTGGATAAAAAGGAGAATATATGTTTTTCTATGTATATTTTTTTGTCGCATCTTACTAAATATTATCTAAATTCTAAAATAATATTAAATGACTGTCAAAAGTAAATTAGAATTGTATTTGTAGTATTTGTTTAAGTTAAAACCACGTTTTGTGTCTTTTTAATGAATCTTGTCCAATCTCTCTCTCTCTCTCTCTCTCTCTCTCACTTTCCTAGTAATAGCACAAACAGGTCCTTCTCGCGTAAGGAGAAGAGCAGCTTCCCATCTTCCTTTGCCTTCAATATTAAAACCCCCTCCTTTTCCTTTTTTTTTTTTCAACTGTCTCTCCGTGTTCACCTCGCGTTCCTTAGCACAGAACTCAGCGTCAGCGACGAAAATAAAAAAAATCTCGATTGATAAAAGAATAAAATCAAAAGGTTATTTTTTGTTCTTTCTTTATCTTTACAATTCATAACGCAATTAACGCGTTATTCTCTTCCCATTCCTACCTTTTTTGATCCTCTCGATCCTGATCCAGCTTTAAATAGATCTCCGTTCTCGATACCTTTTTGATCGGTAGTGTTGTTGGCTTTGGTTGGTGGCTTTCAAATTATAGAATCTAAGAGCGAAATTTTCAAGAGTTAAATAACTGATTACACGAGTGTTGTTTCGTGAGGAATAATGATGTCGACCTTAACAGTTGGGTTGTGAAGTACTATGGAACTGGTGGTTGCCCGACAACAACAACTGCAACAACAACAACAACAACAAGATGACGATTTACATTGGTCGCGAGGCTTCCAAGGTTTTCCTTCCCTTTTGTCTGTTTTTGTTCTAGTTTTTTAAATTACGCGTCGAAATTTAATTGGGTTGTTCTCTTTACTGGTTTTTGTGATTTAGGTACTTTTGATTTGACGATATTGTGGTTGTTTATGTGTAGCTATGGAAGAGAATTTGTGCAGAGACTAGTACAGAGATCAACCTACTTGCAGAAAATTGGAAATACATTCTTGCTGGTCTAATTTTTCAGGTTTCTATCTACCTAAGAGTCTAGAGTGATTGAATTTGTTTTTTTCTCTTTGCCCCTTTTCTGGGGCATGAATTTGACCAAACATCTCAGAAATTTGATTGTGCTTAATGTTTTTATTGTTTTGTCAATTTGTAAAGATTCAAGTTCCAGGAATGATTCAACTTTCCTGGACCGGTGATGGAACTTGCTTTAAGTTTTAATTATAAAGCGCAGGTTCTGGTAGAAGGTTATAGTCACTGTTCCCTACATGTTCTGTTTTCTTAAGAGAAAACTTATGCTTTTAGCATAAGACAGAAGTTCTTGACAGCTCAAATTAACTATGAAGTTGTTTCATAATTTTGTTTCTTTTTTTGCCTTTTGGATGTGGGACAGGGTTGGAGAGGATATTAAGATCTTGGTATACTTGTACAATATGTTGTATGCAATGGTGTTTGCATTTTTGTATTTGGGGATACATAAACAGTGTGCCAACACTTGTAATTCCATTCTATTCGATATTAAGGTGGTCATAACTTTATTTATATGGGTTTTGCATGTTTGTTCTTCTGCACTTCTCCTTCATTTTTTTATTCCTTTGCTTCAGTATGTAATGCACATCTTACTTGCTGCAGTATATACATGGTTTGGCTGCCCGAGGAGTTCATTATCTACATCGTCCAGGGCCAACATTGCAGGATGCAGGATTCTTTCTTCTTCCGGTTTGTATTTGTAAATAGCATTTTTACTCGCTTTAAATTTTAGGAATTATTTTCTTCTTTCTAACATGATGTAATTTCAGGAGCTTGGGCAAGATAAAGGCTATATCAGTGAGACGTTATTCACCTGTGTCTTTCTATCATTCGTACTGGTGAGGTTTTTCTGTCTTATAGTCACTGTTTATGAATTTTCCCAGTCCCATCTCTCTCTGGTTTTTCATTTTTGAAAAGGAGTTTTTTCTGATTTTTTATAGTTTACCATTTTGTTATTTTGATTTCTAATGTTGTGGATTGTTAGTTTTAAATCAAATACTGGTGAAATTTCCATGCTATACTTATTTATAGTGATCAGGATAGCACAACCAGATTGCTGCTTGAAATAAGCTACAAGTGTCAGATTGCCATTCGTATTTGAGTTTTGTATGATAAATTGCCTTCATGAGTTTCCCATTATTCTACCTTTGGTAACAGCTCGGGCAAAATCGAATTTGATGAATTAACCCTGGAGTTTTAACAAATAATTGATACATCTCCTTGTACAGTCTCTATTTATATACTTGTAAATATCTTCAAGTTATTTGCTGGGTTATTCAGCTGTTGATTTTGGAGATACGTGAATGCTTTCAAGATCTTCTCTGGATTCTACAATTGCTGTTTTCTATATTCTATGTGGTTTTTCTTATTATCCACTAAATGCAATGCACACTGATGGTTTCATATGAAGCTGAGTGCTAGCTAAGTTATTTCCTGTCTCTGTTGGTTACTGGTTGCTGTTTGATTGGATCTTGCTTAATTATGAATGCTCCATGAACAGAACTATTTCGGCAGTTATTGAATTGCTTTTATCTGTTAGATTGTTTTTTTCTCTGATTTTCGTGAGGTTTTTTTCTATTATATTCTAGTTGTGAATTAATTGATTCTTATGAAGTCGTCATTGTCCTACTTTTGATAATGTGGGGTATGTTTGTTGCAGTGGACTTTCCATCCTTTCATCTGCAAGAGCAAAAAGATCTACACAGTTCTAATTTGGTGTAGAGTTCTAGCCTTCTTAGTTGTAAGTGAAGATTTATTTGTTACTGGTAAAATTTGATTTGAAATGTTTTGTGATCTGTATTATCTAGTGTTTAAAAATTGATAAAGTTCTGCAATTGTTAAGTTAGAGATAAAAACAGAACCACACATACACACGAAAGTAAATTAAGCAAGACTAATTAGTTACATATAGGTGCTCATCTATTGTCGTGAGCTGGATCTTTTCCAGGTTTGCCATTTTTGAACTGGATTTTTCAGTTGCCACAACGAGGTGTGCAAACTGAATAGTAATCGACTGATACTTAATAAAATTTGCACATTTCACTTGGGAATAAATGTGTATTGCATGTGAAATATCATGGAAATAGTTCTGCCATTACTATCCTGTGATGTAGGATTCTATCTTTACAGGTTCCATTTAGGTTCAGGTAATGTATTAGACCGATTATATTATCATAAAATTACCAGTAAAATATGAACAATTCTTGTAAGAAATCTTCTTGGAGTTCCAATTATTAGCTTGATGAGTCAATAAAGTATCTTGGTCTTTTGGTATTATTGTGACCAGATCCTTTTGAAGTGTAGCCCAAAACTGAGTGGACTGGAGGGAACCAATCTAATATAGCTGACCATGATAATTTGGGACTAATGTTTGGTTGTGTTTAGTAACCACTGACGGTTTTTGACAGTTCATTTGGCTTGTATCTGCTTCAGGGTTCTCAAATTCTTCGGATCATTACATTCTATTCTACTCAGCTTCCAGGTCCAAATTATCATTGCCGTGAGGTATGGGGCAGCATGGGTTCCTTTTTGGCCGCCTTTTCTGTTTATGTTTGACAGGCTCTTTTAGTTTACACCATTTTGCAGTTTGTTTGGGTAAATAATAATTTCAAATTTTAAAAATTTTGAGTTATAATAAGTTGTTTATTGCTTCTGCATTTTACAGGGCTCCAAACTTGCCAGGCTGCCACGTCCAGAGAGTGTGCTTGAAGTACTCTTAATTAATTGTCGGTATCCTGTGCTTTGCTGTGGTACTTTCCTTGTGCTTTATCAAGTATTTTTTGTCCTAATTTGATTTGTGTAACCTGCAGTTCCTCGGGGAGTAGTATTTGGCTGTGGTGATTTGATTTTCTCATCACACATGATATTTACCCTAGTGTTCGTACTTACATATCACAAGTATGGCGCACAAAGGTAAAGTACAGCTTGTCTTTATGTTGGTAATCAAAAGAGAAAAAAGAGAACTTTACTATTTCTTTAGAAACAAGAAGCCAAAGAATATTGTTAATACTGTACCCTTTTTCTTTTATTTTAAACATTTTGGAAAAGTTTGAGTACATACATTAAACATGTTCTGTTTTTTTTTTTTTTTTTTTTTTTTTTTTTTTTTTTTGTCAACCTGATGAAATGCCTGGTTACTAGATTGACTTATTAATTTCAATTTGTCTTTGCAGGTTTATAAAGCAGTTAGGCTGGTTGATTGCTGTGATACAGAGCCTTTTAATTATAGCTTCCCGCAAACATTACACGGTGGATGTTGTTGTTGCATGGTATGTATTTTGTCCTGAAACTAGTGCTCCATTTGAATACATCCAGATTTTTAATTTATTTCTATTACTGGTGCTTCTGCAGGTATACTGTTAATTTGTTGGTATTCTTTATCGACAAGAAATTACCAGGTCAGTAGTTTATAACTTTTTTTTATTTTTTTTCGTTTTTTTGCAGTACTTAATTTGTTTACCCCTTTATTTGGCATTCGGTTAGAGACTGACTTTTAAGTTTTCGACTGCAGAGCTACCTGACAGGACTATTGGAGCTGCATCTCTGTTATTACCGCTGAGTACTAAAGACAAAGATATGAATGAAGAGAATCACAAGCTCCTGAATGGGAATTCAGTAGACCCTGCAGATCGGGTATATTGATCTGTTGATCATCCAACTTCTCAGATAAACAGTGTTCGCAATAATATATGATTTTGATTGTGGTTATTTGTTATCTTTTGCAGAGGTCAAGAACCCAAGTTAATGGCAAGGTTCTGGAAGATGTCAATGGAGTCCATAACGATACAAATGCAATGAATGGTGTCTAGATGATGGGAGCTGGAAGCTGCTACTGCTGCGAGAACTTGCTTTTTATATCTTTAAGAACCCTTGTGTGGTGGGCTTCAGTTCCCAAGACTGCTGGTAAATTTAATTTGTATTCTAGAGGGAAATCGAAAAAGAAAGAAAAAGAAATATGGATAGCACATAATGTACATTTTACAGTCCTGCTTCTTTGTCATGGTTAAAAACAAATATTTCATCAGCATCAGCATGTATCATGGTATCTACCAAGTTCCTGTTTCTCCAGAATTTTTTTCCTCGAGCATGTGTGATGCTGTTGAAACTTTCACTCGCTTTCTTTTTAATTTCACACTGTGAAGCCGAAGGCTCTTCACTTTTTACAAACCGAGCTACAATGCAATTAACCATTGTTCCCTCATGTTACTAATCTTTTTAACTGAGACAGGTTAATTCTTAGATCAAGTCTTTTTAGATGGTTAGTTTAAACATGATATATAAAAAGAATTAGGTTGCTAATATCTAAATATTTTAACCCTGAAGAGGGGGAGACGTCTAAAAACAGGCAGAGCACTTAAAAGTTGGGATTACAGCTAATTGTAGTTTGATTGAGATGATTAACAAATAAGAGCACATGACCTTGTTGTCCATGTGAAGACCCTTTTGTCTTAGGTATTATTTTTTGGTAAGGTTTGTACAGCAAGAAATGCTATAATGGAAAAGATTTCCGTTTAAAATGAAACATCATCACATGCTTGGCGCTTCCATTTTTGCTTAGCTTATGCTCAAACGTGGACTTGGCTTTCTAACATCTAGACCTAGTTGTACATTGTCGATATTTTATTTTAATTCAATTATTGCTGGCTATACGATTTTAAATAGGCAGGCGCACGAAATGACGTGTGTTTGTTTGACAAATATGCCAGGCCAGGATATGGATCGTTGGATCCGGTTCATCATATTGGCCCGCCACTTATTAGATTAGAATAGAAAACATTACAGAAACAAAATAATAATAGAGAAGCGTTTTCTGTCCTAGGTAATTATTTGAGTGATCCGTGATGAAATATTATAAAATATAACTAAATGCATTTTTAGTAAAATTATTACATTAAAATGGACTTGAATATACTTTAAAGGAGTGAGATTAAATGACAAGATCTATTCTTTCTTAATCAGAAGTCTACGTATTGAGGATGAAGCCGTATTGAGGATGAAGCATTTTGCCTCCTTTGAGAGTTTGACGCGTCTATGGATTTGATTTTTAACTTTGTGAAATCCATTTTTGAAATTATTTTATCAATTTTTTAAGTCAATTAATTATTTTCATTTTTTTGGAATCATCCAAAACTGATTTCGAACTGATATTGAATTCAATGGACAAAATAGCAGAACCGATTCTTCAACTCCATTGACAATAGGAACCACAACTAATAAAATTGATTCTAACTAGTTTCATTAGAATCGATTTTGATTTCTCAGTTAGAAAAAATTTACAAGTAAACATAGAATTAAGTCCTATCAACATTGAAAATGATTATAGAAAGAAAAAGAAGACAATGTAGATGTTTATGTTGGTGAAGCCATGATTTGGTTGTTTTCTGTTTGTTAGTTGTAAAAGGATATGGGAAGCACGCGAGTTGTTGTTACCAATACCCACATGAAAAACAATGAGGCCCCTTTCATTTAAGGTATATAAATAATCAATGGATGTCCTCCACCACCACCACCTTTGTCCATGGCTGCCGCAATTTAAGCTATAATGATAAAAGTGTAGTCAATAAAGACACCAAATGCTGCGTCTTCACTCAGGCAACCCCACTTGATTCCTACATGGTGTATCATAATTGAATTGAAGCATGTCTGTAAATAAAACACCACCACTTTCTTGCTTTAACATGCTTCTTCTTTTCCCTGTAAAAGGGGTCCTCTTCACCCCTAAATGGCTGGTCAAAATTATGCTTCCAACTGCCACACTAACCTATTTCCTATAAAATATTTTCTTCATTTCTTTTCTCCCAGTTATCCTTATTGAATGATGATATATAGTGGGCCACTAGTTGGATTGTTTAATTATGTTTATGAGCATGTTTCAGCGTGAAAAATATATATTTGAATTTGATTTCTTTAAAGCTAATAATATAATGAAGGTTTAGATATTCTGGTGTTTGGTATTTATTAGAACCTTTTAATAGAAAATTCCGAAATCTATCTACAGGACGTTAAATCGGCGTATATATATAGTCAATGATCAGACAAAGCTTGACACTTGATTTGGAGAAAACTGCAAGCAACCCTTATTCAAAAGGCTTGTTACTGTTTTTCAAATCAATCAATTGACAATTTTTATTTTTATTTATTTATATATTTGTTTATTGTTTGCAATTTGTAAAGGCATCCACCTTTTTCCCACTTATTACGATTTCCTGCGTAAACAATAATCAAATCCCACGTCCTCGTTTTCTTACCGTTGTAAGACTTTAACACGTACTTTTTGTTTGTTTATTTTGTTTTCGTAAATATCCAATTTCTCTATATTCGTTACATAAATCAAATCAAATTATAATAAATTTTTTTTACATAAATAATTAAAAATACCTTCATTTCTAAAAAATTATTTTTCCTAAATCGACTTATATACAGATTGATTGATAAGTCTCATTAGCAGTTAGGATTGAATTTTCAAAGGAAATAATATTAACCTACACCTACGGTTAAATTATCCTTAACCATCGCAATTTTTTTTTTACCAAATTAAACAACAGAAAAAGTTATAAAGTAAAATCAAAACCTATTGCATATTTCATGCTCGGTTCCATACTAATAATAATATTATCATTTCTTATTCTATTTTTATTTAGAAGACATTTCGTTCAATTGATTTATACTATTGATAACTAATCTATATCCAACAATTAAATAATACTTATGTGTTCAGTAAGCTGTTTAATTGCTATAGCTCATAAAAATTTCAATCAACTATCGATTTAATCAGTTATATTTCAGAGTTTTTTTTTGTATGAGCTAAATAGCTAATAGCTAATTTGTATTTATATTATATTTAGACTTCATTAGTTTCATAAAAATAACTAGTAGTAAAATTAATTTTTGTAAATTGATACTTTTATCATTTTATTTATAATTATTTAAAATAGTAATCTTTATTAAATATTATTTGAAGAAACTTAATCATATATTTTTATTTATGTAATACAGTAAAATAATATATATATACTCTTAATGGACATTACACATTTTAACATAAATCGTTATCAAAATTTTATCAAACATCAACATATATGAGCTAACTGCTATCAGTCACTAATAACACTATCAAAATGGGCGGTGCAGCCGAACCAGCACGGGCTCGGTCTGAGCCAAAAGAAGCTCGTTAAAAAATGAGCCTTCAATATTCAGGCTTGACCCGGCTTGCAATAGGCTCGTGAAAAGGCCAGAAGTTGTCCATTTTTTTAAAAATTTTCATTTTTTTCAAAAAATTTTTTTTTTTTTTTTTTTTTTTGCCAAATAGTAGAGACAAAATGTAAACTAATTATAACTTTATAAAGCTTAGTTAATTTACAATTTTCTATCAGTTCGTTGGGTGCTAGATTCTAATGAGGCTGAACTCTTCGCTATTTTCATAACGGTTGAAATATTTTGGAATTCAATTTTAAAAAATTTCCGTTGATTGAGAAATTTGATTTTAGAAATGGTTTGTGTTGAGCACTTCAGAAAATAAGAGATTGTGGAAGTAGTTGGAAAAGTTCAATAAGTTTGAATAAATTATTTTTACAAATTAATGTAATACAACTTATTTATGTTGAAAGAAGTAAAAATCATCTTGCAGATACATCGGCCAAGAAAGGTACTAGTGTTGAATCCCCATTTTCGGCGTAGTTTTAATTGGCGTGATGATTGGTTTCCGTTATTTTTTATTTTATTTTATTCTATTTTAATTTTCATCTCTTACTTTAAAAGAAGTTTTCTACTTTTCTTTGTGTATAAGTTTTTCTTATCAATTTTGATCATTAGGTTTTCGGGGGTGTATTGTGAAAAACTTGTTGGCTTGGTTTTTAATTTCTCTCAGTTTTATTAAGTTTTTTTCCTTATTGTTATTAATCTCTAATAAAACTGATTCGATTGCTGATAAAATTATGTTAACAACTAAGGTACCATCAAAAGTCAGAAGTTGGAAGACTTTTATTTCTTCCATGTGTCATAGTATTAAGGAAGATGTTATATGTATATATATATATATATTTCTTTTTGCAGAAAATTTAAGTTGTTGTATGCATTTGGACTCTAATAAGCGCAAATGGTAAAACTTGATTATTACTCCCTCAAATTTTGGATTTTGGCAAATATTTGTATGTCAACTCTAATAAATTTTTGTATTCATTCTAAAATGGGCAGTCTGCGACCCGTTCAGTCCAGCTTGTTGCGTGTTCAGAATGAATAAATTTACATATCCCTGACTATTTTTATATAATAATTGATAATTTATTAATACTCAACTTTGATGGGTAGTTTTCGTGCTTTAATTTTTCAGTTTTGTGAGAACGGGCATTGCATGAGTGTGTGATTCTTTCTTGTTATCTAATTTGACATAATGCACTCAAAGAGGAGTTAGTGTGTTTTTTATTTACATGTCCTTTTCTTGCTCTTATATTATATAGATATTGCAAGTCCAAGCAAACTCCATTATAACTCAAGCTTCAACTCCCTTCATGAAACCCACATCAAGTTCTTTTAAATCTATTCCAAAAAGCCTAATTCTCCAAATCAACGCAAAACCAGGTTTCTACAGGTGAAGAGGACATTTAGTTTACTTAAAATATATATGTGGTGATGTATTGCAGTTTTTGGTTTTACATAGTAAAGACTCTTTTCATTAAGCTCCTGTTCCTCTAGGATGTCAAATTGGCCATTCCCATCTAATATGGACTTTCATATATTATATAATCTAAATGACTCTTCTTCATATTTAGAAAGGGCAGTTTTTGTTCCTGTAAACCCAGGCATAAATTATTAATTTCACTAACTGGACTGCGTCAGAGTTTATGCAGTTTTTGCTCCATACACTCTCATGTGTTTGGATTATAGTTTCTATTTGCATCAATATTTTTTCCTAACGGTTCATCTTTGATTTCAGCGAGATCGTATCCATGTAATGATTAGTAAAAATATTGTTCATTTATTCAAATCAAAGATACACGATCTTGAATTATATTTCATGAAGACTTTATAATTGCACCAAATAATTAAATAGGAAATCGTTGCATATATATTTTCTATAAGTTGCTACTGTTGATTTTATAGGAAAATAACCGAGTTTGACTCACTGTGGTTCATGCCTCCTAAGTATTATTGTTCGATGCAGGCTATAT